AGGTGTGTTCACCTTCACTGTCTGGCCTCCTGTTCCTCCTCATGTAGACAGGTGAGCAGTCGGATGACGGGCAGGATTTTGATGGCGAACTGCTTGGAGTGACTAGTGCCTCCTGAGACGTGGCATTGGTCAGCTGATGGTACCGCCCACGTGGTGGAGTGACCAATGAGGCACCCTCGTCCTCTGGAGACCGACGGCCCTGAGACATCAGGGTGAATAAGGATGTTGTTTTCAGTTTTTGCATAAAAAAGAAAAAGATTAATTTTTCGCTCTGACTTTTCTCACCAGGGATGGGTCAAAGGAAAAGGCGGGGCTTCGGGAGGACACCAGTAAATCTGGGGTGGGGGAGGAGCCTCTCATGGCCAGGTGTAGAGGAGAGCGGGCAGACTGTATGGGGCTGTCCTGCAAACAAACACAATGGTCAGCTGATTGGGTCATGATTCATTTAAAAATATTAGAGTTTCCAGCGGTACTCTACCTTCCTGTCGAAGCCTTCGTCTCCCTCTGTGGAGCTTACACTGTCTCGGTAGCGGGACCGTGAGGGCCGGTGCCTGCGGGCTTTGACGGACAGCTGAGCCCTGCCTTTCTGGATGCTGTTGTCCAGTAGCTCGGTCTCTGGGACCGCCTCATCCAGGTCTGCAGCAGGAAACCAGTTTTATTCTGTTACTAAAGCTGACAAACCTGCTCCTTCAAGAGGTCTGGAAGCGGCTCCAGGAAACTGAAAGTGAAACAGTATTCCCTTCTTCTTTTTGATCAGGTCTCCATAACACTATAAGGTATATAAAGAGTGGAACGAGGGATAAAACTGCTTCCGTAAACGAGAGCATACCTGACCATTTGTTATGTTGAGCTACATTCTGATAATTTCATAAACCTTTGGTTTTATTTCCTCCCACACATCTGGCAGCATCCTGGGGGGTCTGCAGTGCCCTGTCAGATGCTCCTATTGCTCCAGTGAGGGCAGCGGTTGTACAGGAATGGTCGGTATATAACCCACTGTTACTGTTTTAACTTCTGGACCTATTTTGTGCCAACAGGATTGTTCTTGGCATACAAAATGGCTCATAAGCCATTAACTCTCTTTAACCATTATCAACACTGACAAAAATGAAGTATGGCTCAAACAGATAAGCCAGTTGCATTCGGCTGTAGAAGTGACACACAAGCAGGTCATCATTGATGCATCTGCAACTTGATGCTACAGCTAACGGAACGGAAAGATTTTAACAGCAAGGTGGCTGAACTTAGGCGTCACCAGGTGAACACAATCAGTTGATGATGTGGGAGAAACTTCAGGACCAAGAACACGACGACTGAGATGAACGAAGCTGAAGACCATAAATGGCCTGGATGGATGGATGGATGGATGGATGGATGGATGGATGGATGGATGGATGGATGGATGGATGCATGGATCCATGCATGCATGGATGGATGGATGATGACCAGAGATGGGAAGTAACGAAGTACAAATACTTTGTTACTGAACTCAAGTAGATTTTTCTGATATTTTTACTTTACTTTACTACTTATTTTTATGGCAACTTTTTACTTCTACTCCTTACATTTTTACACAAATATCTTTACTTTCTACTCCTTACATTTTAAAAAATTGGCTCGTTACTTTAGTTTTGAATCATTTCAATGGAGTTACCGTTATTATTTTTCACGTCATCAATA